ATTTTTATTTACATTTTGATCCTTACAATAACATATCATAACTCTTAAATATTTTGTTGTTTCTCATTTTAATCTTTAGAAAAACGTTTCTCATAAATATTTCAAAATTTGTTTTAATAAATTTAAATTTTATACATATTTTTTCTAAAAACATCAAGATAAGATTTCAAATATTTTAAAACTAAAACTAGACAATAACAATATTACCAGATTTAATGTAATATTTTGTTCATAATTAATATTTAATTATATATTTCTATTTTATATTTTAGTGTAACATTTTATCAATTAATATTGTTGTAATATTTTTATATATGTACTAGTTATTTATAAAATTTCTATGAATTTGAATTATTATGATAAATATAATAATCATAGTATAAAAGACAAATATTTTTAAAATTGAGTTTAAAATTTTACTTTTGGAACACAACACCTTTAAACTTCAAATATAAAATTTAATAAACTCTAAAATACAGAATATTTTTGGAGATGCCCTAAGACGGCATCAAAAATTAAATTTACTATAAACTAGATTTGACCCGCGCTTTTAAAGCGCGAAATTTGATTCTTTTGTAAATTTCTGGTAGACGGTCATTAGGCGCTAGTCAGATCTCTCTCGGGAGCATCCGGATACCGAGGTCATAAAAAACAGTCTATAAATGTTATATTATATTATGGTTATTACTATTTTAAATTTATATGAAAAGAAATATAGATGTATTTCATGATGTATTTTATTTTATATTATGATTTTATTTAATATATTGAATCAATTTTTTATAATAATAAATTTCATATAATTGTTTCTCGATAAAAAAGTTTTTGGCAGTGTAATATTTTTTTTACTTATGAAACACCTAAATTATAAAATTGGATTTTTTATTTTTTTTTTCAAACAAAGAAATATGTGGATTTAATATATTGATTGGTCTTTGTAACCATTTTATATTTGTAACTCATTTTTAAATTGTATTTGAATACACTTAATATACAATTTGTATTATGTTATATTTATATCTGGGTCATATGTGTATATGTATGATCAATAAAGTAATATAGAATATATAATTTCAGAATAGTTGATAAGTATTAATTTCAAATTCATTTTACGTGGTAGAATATATAATATTATTAGAATAATGTATAATAGATAACTTTATAATTTTCTCATATTTTCCTTCAAATATTATCAAGTGTGGAATCAAATCTTTTGAATATACATACAATTTTTTCTACAGTTTCAAATATATATGTAATATCTATAAAAGAACTCCACAATTTTTAGTGATGTTCTTCTATTAATACGACTATATCAAACATACCATTGTATTTTTTGATAGATGTCTAATATCGATACTAAAATGAGCGCATTCATATTTATATTTTGACTGTATTATGCATATCAGACAGTTGTATATTAATAACATCAATAGTTGAGAATATTATATGCATATATTAATTATAAGTAATATCAACTTACGATTTGAAGCATGTATTAATTTTTTTTGATGTTTTTTTTTATGAATCAACTAGAGCTTGATCCACACGTCCGTGCGTGTACTTGTTTTTATTTATATAATATATAAATATTGTTTACATGTTTATGAGTTAATTTTCTAAATATTTATTGGATTTTAAACTTTTTATAAACATCATACTGTAAAATAGTGTGACAAATGCGCTTTACCAAACCTTCAACAAATATTAACCTATTGATTGATATGTTTAAAGAATATTTTTTACGCGAAATTTTTTCTAAATATAATAATATTTAAATATTTTGATTAGATATGAAGTCATATGGCGAGATTTAGATACATTAGAAAATTAATGTTCAATCATAAATAGTAAATATTGTTAAAAAATAATTCAAAAATATTTAATTCATAATATAATAGATCTTATTGTTGAAAATACTCAATAGTAACTGAGATTGTTAACTATATATTTGTGAAAATTATATAATTTTAGGCGACATTTAGTTATATTAAAAAAGGAATATTTGGTTACAAACATTTTATATTGTTCTACAAGTAATTTAAAGATATTTAATTCTTAGCATATATAGATTAAATAATCAATGGTAATAGTAATGGTTGAACATATATTTTAGGAATATTTGTTATATTGTTTACTATTGATTTTTATTTTTTATTTTTGGTCAAATTGTTTAACATTGATTTTAAATTTGAATTTTGTTCAAAATAATTAATGTTAACAATATCCAAGTTTAATATTGTTAAAATCGATTTTAACTTTAATATTCCCAAAAATTAGCTAAATCATTTTAAGAAATATGTTAAACACAAAATTTAATTAAACTTGATTTAAAAGTAATTTAATAAAATAGAAAAAAAACAAAGATTTCTTAAAGAAAAGTTTATTGTGGAAGCCCCTTTGGTCCAGTGGTTTGACTAAGGGTTCATTAATGCTTCTACACCCGGAGGTCTGGGGTTCAAACCCCAGAAAAAAAATTATGCAGATTATGGAGAAACAAGTTACAAGAGATCTTCAGCTTGGTGCATGGCGTACCATCGAACATGGATCTCATAGGACGGCTCGGAGTGATGCAGTCAGGCGTGTATTCTCACAAGATGGTAGAATTGTCGGCTGTAAAATCGTCTATGTAATATTCTCATCGTTGTAATAGCATAATTAATCAGACGTTAAAAAAAAAGAAAAGTTTATTAATTGCTTCAGTGGCATTAAGTTATAAATATTATGCAAGTTTAAGAGATATCTTTAAGGGTACTTCTATTTTAATAAAGTAGATAACTTCCTTTATTTTTCAACATGACTTATATATTGTGAGCTATGAGCGCATTAATAGGGGAAGTAAGGTCTAGTTAATGTCGTGTGTTAGATTTAGGAAATTCTGGTTTTTAATTAATTAGGAAAAGCATGTATATTTCAAATATTTTCCATGAGTTTTAAGTTAAATTTAATTGCAGTGGCATTAGATTATAAATAGTTAGAAAAATAGGGTTAATTCAAATTTGTACTCTTGTTTTAGTAGAAAATATATCTACTCCTTTTTAGTAATTAAAAATGGATTTTTAACATAAAAACCCCTCAACTAAGTTTGTTTTGAGTAAAAACCTCTAAACCAAATATTTAACAAAAAAAAATCATCAAATTAACTTTATTTAATAAATTAAACAGTCACCAGTCATAATTACCAGTACTACCGGTAAATCTTTAGTTTAGGAATTTTATCATTAAACATTAAAAAGAAAGATAAAAATATAATAACATTATCTAAAAATTCGTAATTTTAATTTACAAAGCTAGCATTTTAAAAATTTCTATAAATATATGAATGATTCACTATCCTTTTAAAACTGCTTTTTAACTCTAAAATACCTCTATTAATTTTTTTTTTTTGACTAATAACTCCCAAACTAACCAGTAAACCCCCATATTAACTTTATTTAATTAAACTTTCATCGGTCATAATTAGCTTATTATTGATAATTCTTTAGTTTAGGGATTTCTACATAAAGTAAATATAGTTGAAGGATTTTATCATTAAAAATCTTTAAAAAAAATTATAACATTATCTAAAAATTAGTAACTTAAATTTTCAAAATTAGCATTTTTAAAACTTTCCGTAAATATATGAGTTTGATTTATTTTAACATCAACATTATATATATATAAATTAAAATTATAAAACACCAAAATATAATAAAAATCATCTAAAGATCTATTATTACATGTTTATTAAGATATAATTTTATTATGTCTTTTTTTTTGTTTTTTACATTTATAACTTTTGATAATTTTTAGTACATGTAAATGTTTAGATAATTTTTGTTATATTTTTGGTTTTTATATTTTAAATTTATACATATATAATGTGGATTTTAAAAAGATAACAAATCAGACTCATATATTTACATAAATTTTTAAAAATGCTAGTTTTGAAAATTAAAATTACGAATTTTTAGATAATGTTATGATATTTTGAATTTTTTTGTTTTTTAATTTTTAATGATAAAATTTTTAAATTAAAGATTTACCGATAGAAATGATAGTTATGATAGGCGTGGATTTAATTCATTAAATAAAGTTAGTTTAGAGTTTTTCATTAAATATTTAGTTTAGGGATTTTTATCAAAAACAAATTTAGTTGAAGGATTTTAATGTTAAAATCCTTGAAAAACATATACGCTCGTTTTAAAATGTCAACGATGCACAAAGTTATTACCAATATTAACCAACTATAGTGGCATGTTTGAAATACGTGTATGAAAATCAAACATGAACATGATTCATGAAGCGTATATGATCAAATATGAAAAAAAACTTAGAGAAAATCAAACCTTGTCATCTAGTAAGAGGAAATTAAAACTTATAGTTTCATTGTTTCGTTTTGGCTATCCAAACACGAATGATTTTTTTTTGTAGATAATATTTTATTTAAATATCTTCTAAAAATATGTAATCATATACCTGTAAAGAATTTTTATTCTTCACTATTTTTTATATTAGTGATATTTTTACTATGGAAATATATTATTTATAGTTTTCAAAGATCCATATGAATAGTTACAACTTTTCAAGATATAGTTATTTATTTTAATGAATAATAAAAACTTTCAAATTATTGGTGGTGAATAGTTACAATTTTCAAATTAAAATTGGTTATTTTATGAATATTTACAAATTTCAAATTATAGGTAGTGAATAATCACGATTTTCAAATTAAAATTGGTTATTTTATAAATAGTAACAATTATCAAATTATAGGTAGTTAATTTAAAATGATACATTTACATTATATATTTGAATAGATATATCATTTTTAAAACAATTTTATTAATAGATAAAGACACCTTAACTATTTTAAAAATAATTAAAATTTAAATAGACGCAATATTAAAAAAAAAACAGTTTCATTACAGAAAGACATTTTAAATATTTTAAAAATCTAATTTTTCTTTGGAATAAAAAAACATAATTTTTCACTTTAAATAGATTCACAATCTTTTGACATTAGTTGGGATTGCTATTATTTAATAGATATGAATAAGATGTTTTAAATATTCACACTTCAAAGAGTTGGGAAGATCATTTCTACACCATTAAACTAGCTAATATAAAGAGAGATCTTGCAGCTTTCTTATTTCCTGCAACTGTCTTTCTTACCCTAGGCTTAACATTAACCTTTTTCACATACCTGAAGAAAAAATATTGGGTTTGAAGTAAAAATATAAACTTCAGACCCGCCCAACAGGGGAGAGTGGGGCGTCATACACGACGGTATTGCCATTAGGCTTTGAATCTCGGTCCAGGACTAACACGGGTTCCGCTTTGGGTTTATGTTCATCACATGAGATTTTTTGCTCAAGGGTGTTCCTACTCTCTGCAAGTGCCATACATATGGAGAAAGCTTGTAGTTGGGAAAGGGACGAATCATAGACAACTGAATATAACCCTTCCTTGATTGGTTTATAGCTCAAGAATGGATGTTCTTCTGCTTGTTCTCCCTGACCAAAACAAAGAGTTAATAATGAATCCTTTTGGTTTTGATTTGGATTTGATACTAGGCTGAGAATATGTACCAGAAAGTAAAGCTCGAATCGGTTTGAAGGGGGTGGTGAGTTTGAGGTTGTTGAATTCTTGCAGGAGTTGTTGTTGTGCTGGTTTGTAAGAATTCTGAGATTGCAGCCCATATCCCAGCCTCCACAATCGCAAGAACCACCTGTTCTCCATCGCTGGATCAAAGACGAGGGGCCTCCTTTATGAGGCATACTATGAACACCGCTTTGAAGTATGACCGTAGCACTAATGTCTTGATCAAATACCCTGTCTTTGATTGGATCTCCGAACTCTTTATTGAGTTCAGTGTGATCTCGTGATGCCCTTCTGTTAAACCATCTTGGCATCTTCACGATGATTGCAGCAAGCTCGTTTTTTAGCTGCACGTCAGACTTTTCCGTGCTCTCTTGGTCAAGTTCTACGGAGAAGAGAACGAACTCTCTGATGGAACCAGACCGGAAAGAGCTGGAAACCAGCATCTGAGCAACAACATCAGAGATGATACCATGCGTTTGGCCTCTGCTTCTTTGGTTTAACCATGCGCTATTTCTCTTATGGTCTTTAATAGAGAAGAAAGTATAAACACTTGTACATTCACCCTCATCCGAGCTTCCCATTTTCTTTTGGGTGGCCGCAATAATGTCGGTTTCTTTGTTCACTGCAAATGTAAAGAGTGGCTGATTGTTCTTAATTGTTACCCGCAGAACAGCTCGAACCATGGATGATCCTACCTTCTTCTCGTGAGCTGAATCATTGACATTTATTGATCTGCAACCTTTGATACCCAATTTTATTCTTTGAACGCCTTGACCTTTAGGCCCCTCCACAGAATTGTCAGAGTGAGTTGCTCTTGGCTTCAGTAGAGGTTCTAGGAACCTTCTCAAATGGCTTGTCGTGGTTGTATCTTTGTCGCTGGTTTTGTTGCAATCTAAGCTGTCAACGCCAGATGGAAGAGCCGGGTTTTGTGAAACGGTCTTTGTGGAGTTAGCCATTGACTCAGGCTGGGTGATGGAACCATCAACTCGTTCACTGTTAGTTTTGCTAGCCTTACCCATACTGAAGCTAAGCCGCTGAAAAGGTGATATACTTCTCCGCTTTTCAGACACTGGTTTATGGGACTTTGAATCTCGTCTCTGGGCAGGCTCATCCTCACAATGTTTCACAGATAACAAAGATGATGCTCTGTCTTCTGAGATTTTACCTCTTGAAAATGTAATACTTGCTTTCGCTGAGAGTGGCTCACACTGAGATGTTATAACTGAATTCTTGTTAGGGTCCGCATCAGCCAAGCCAATGTTACTCTTTGCCGAGTAGTCATCAGCTTTACATGAATGTCGAGCACAGTAATTTATTTCAACATCATGAACTACGCTGACTTTTTTACTCGAACTCCTCTTGCAGGTCTCAGCCTCTTCTCGAGCTAGCTTCTTAGTTGAGTGATAAAGCTTAGCTTCCCCCTGCTGGCTTCGACCGAGTTCTCGATCATGATCACTCCGGTTTCTATCACGTGACTTCTTTTCACTCTTCTTACGTCTACTACCATCAGCCTCAGAGTTTACCTCCGTGTTCACGCCAGCCCCTGGATTCAATCCATTTGTCAAAGTTCCAGGTTTTGGGCCAATCTTCTCCTTCAGGTCCTTTTTCTCACACCCCTCTTGTGCATCAGTAACTTGACCTAGCTTCTCATCTGGTATGCTGAAACTCCTATGGTCTTTAGGTTTCTTTTTCCGTGTACCTCGATTCTCCCTTACAGTCTCTTCATCAGGATTTGACATGACATTAGACTGCCGTGAGCTACGATGTTTCCTTGGACGGTTATGCACATTGCTCGGACCAGCAGACGACTCATCTCTACCCGGAACCAATGAAGCATCTGTCTGGTAAACAACCGAAGGGAATTTACCCTTCACAGGGTTCATTCGGTTATGGCTATGCTGCCACTTCTGCAAGCGGTCCCAGTCAAGAACACCAACGCTCAAGAGCTTCTCCTGAGGAGTATGAGTATCAGCTCTCTCCAAGAAAACAGGTAGCTTTGACATATACTTAAGAAGCTCAGGCTCATCCTCACCCTGAGTATGCAAAGGTTTACTCCTCTCCATTAGATAGTAACTAGATCCACCACATAAGCCTTGAATCAATCCCACTTTAGCACCCACATAACCTCAATAACATCCTGGATCATGAAAAATTCAACAAAAAAAAAAACAAAAAACAATCAAATCAAATCATTAGAATCTTGTCGCTGCTAGCAGTTGAGTACATTGAAAGCATTTCAGAGTGTGCTCAAGTCATCAAAAAAATACAAAATTACAGAGGAACATTTAAAAGTGGTCCTGGACACAGAAAAAAATGGAGGATGATAATGGTTTTTGTCAACATCCATCTTTTAGATAATGCTAAGAAACAAAAGTGCACACCTAACGATGGAGACCTAATCTCTCCCCGAAGAAACAGCTGAATATGCACATTTATGAGAGCAACTTTCAATAACACGACAAAATCAATATATTCAGATTCGAGATTCGAAGTTTTTGGCGGATCCGCGATTTTATATTTCGAATCAACCTAAAATCGAAATAGTACTCGAAATCAAACGATCAAATGTCCGATTTGAATCGAAATCGATTTCCTAGGGTTTACAATTCGCTTAGCTACTCAAAATCATATTAACCTAGAAGAAATCAGTTGCTTCTTATAATACAAGCTATGGATTCGTTTCTTCGCTTAGCAAAACGGCAAACACTTAAACCGAATCAAAGCGAAGAAACTTTCCCGAGAAATCTCGAAGGAAAACGAAGGAAAATTACCTCAAACAATGTATGAATGAGAAAATACAGTAGTGACGCAGATCGTCGGTGATGTTGAAGATGATACACAGAGAGAGTCAACAAAAATTTTCACTAGAAGAAGAGAGTGATGAATCAGCAAAAAAGGGTGAAGATCCGAATCCATAAAAGCTAGAGAGAGAGTGTGTGTGAGAGTGACTGGGAAAGTAGATGATCTGACGGTGGATAGTGGATGAAAGGGTGAATCGTGCGGTTGTGATTGTATCACGATTAAGGAAGGCGCGGGAATGGTTCGTGTTAGGTGGTCCCCAACATGTGTATTATTATTCTGCACATGTTTACGTGTGCGTATTAGCAAAACATTTACTAAAAACTGACAAAATTACAAAATTTTAATGACTTTTTCTTAAAGTTTAACAATTGTAGAACTGAACATACGGCATATATTATAATGTTTTAGCACAAAAAGTTAAATATAATATTTGTCTCTTTTGTATACTTGGAAAATTAATGACAATTGTAATTGTAAGACATGATTGCATCACATGATTCACACATCACACAAAAACAAAAACACATGATTCATATCACATTTTTGCTTTATTTTTGCGGGTTTTACGTTATCTAATCATTTTATTTTTGAAAATAACCCCAACAATTCGGCAAAATACTCACTAAAGACTAGTATTTGTGTTATAATTTTTGTCTGAACAAAAGTATTTTTGTTATAACATTTTGTGGACAGTTAACTTGTAAGTTATAGACGGCACAACACCGCACGATATATTTTTAATACTTATATTTAAAATATGCTTACATACTACAAAGTGGACTCGTCATGGATTCTTACTTCACCAAAATTAAATAGCGAGTACTTAGTCAAGATTATTAAAAAAAGCGTGTAAAGTATACATCTGGTTCTAGATATATCTTTTACACGACCTGCACCAAAATAAATGCAAATCGTGTGGTCATTTTCTTTTACCCTAATGCAGTTTGGTAAGAAAATTAATATTATATATAGACTTATATAAAGTCCTCTGTTGGTGGGATGATCGTGGGATTGATTTCACAGACTAATATGGGCCACTGACGCAGCTCAAGATCAGAGGAGACTGTAGTTTCCAAGAAAGCTTATAATGATGATAGTTTTGTAATGTAATGTAGCCGTATTAATTCATTTGGAATATTAATTTCTTGACCACATTACGCAGAATATTTAATTGTTATTAGCAAGGGAGGTGATTATACTATTCTAATCTAGTACGGTGTTTCATTACATATATAAAGACTTATATGTCTCTTGTTTTCCTTAATATTTTCCTTCAAAAACTGGTTTACGTGTTACACAATATGGAAGACATGTTTTTACTTGGCCATATTCTAATATATTCGATTTGGGTCTGTTATATTTGGATAGACAGACCATTGTCCAAGTGATAATTCATACTAATAATTCAACTCATTATGAACAAGATGAAATAACAATTCGTGGAGACACCATAAAGGAAAAAGAAAGTTCTTTATCATTAGTGGATATTCATCATAAGCAAACCAAAGCAAAAAAGATGAATGAAAGTAAGATAGATATAAAATAAAGATAAAGATAAAAGGACAAAAGATTAATTACTTTTTCTTTTAGTTTGTGCGCTCCACTAAGATTGAAGTTAAAAAGAAAGGAATTAATCAACCGATCGACAAGGATCACTATAATTAGTTGATATCACATTTGGATACGGAAGATCTATATATTGTAGGTGCGTTTGTCACGTGACTCACGACTTATCAATACATGGATGACACACATGCGGTTATGCGCATGCAAGTGTGATGGATTCTTTTGTTTTAGTTTGCTTACTTTCTGCTCTCCGTAAGAGAGTACTTCTTTTGCACTGATTCGTCCTGAAAGAACATAGTCCAAATCTCAAATGCACACGAACAAAAATTATACCACACGGAGTTTGAAAATTTTGACCAAGATACCAAGGGATTCATCTATTTTGAAGTGCTCGGAACTGAAGCTAACGGTGCAGTGTATATAGAAGAGTAGAGACGATATGTGTGCTAATGTTTTCTCAAACTAGTTTTCTTCCAAACCGTCTTGACGAAAAAACTCTTCCAATTGAAATGGATAACCAAGATAAAGAGCTTGATGAACTTCCTCTCTACTCCAAGCTTTTAAATGAGCATTTATACACAGTTATTTATGTCAGTTATTCACTTTATTGCTTGATGCTCTTGAATGATCTACCAACAAAATAAATTCAGCAAAACTTGTGGTAATTTGTCCTATCTTAATCTTACACAACATTGACATTTTTACGATCCTCCAAACAATCTTTCAAGAAAATAAGAAAATGTCATCTTTTAAGTACTCTCCATTTCTAGTTTAAGAAGTACACTGATCAAGGTAACTTCACGCTCTAAATTACGTACACAACAAGAAACCCTTTTGGCGTTTTGCTCATTCGGTCATTCGGTCATTCCCCATCTTTTGTACCTTACTATACATTCAATAAAATTTGGAAGCTAATCATTTACTAATTTTACCGTACTGTAGCTCATCCTCATAAGGATACACTTGTGATTGTTACAAGTAAGAACTATAGGAACACACTGAATCTATATACATCCAACATATTGTTGCTCAATAACAATTAAGGCGTCTCCCATTTTCTGCACTGCCTCCGGATCATTTAGCCGTGGAGCTCCAGGTGGCAGAACGCAAGAGCCATGGACATACCACCGGGCTGTTCCCTTTACATCTCACTTCGGTTATTATATTCCGCATGTATTCATCTTCAAGATTTCAACCAAGAAAAATAAGAGAAGTCATTAGATCACAATCGAATAACTAAACTAAAACATTCAGAAATGTATCTTAAAGTCAACCCCATGTCTTGTTGTCTTGTCAATTTCTAATGACTGAAATGAATGTAGATACGTTTATTCTGCTTGCTTACGTTGAGAATCTATGCTTTTCTGTGCCAAGTCATAATATCTTATCCAATGTCTCCGAGAAAGGTACTATTTGCCGAGCAGAATAGTCAGAGGATCTCCAATGTCATCTGCAGAAGAATTCTTCAACTTAAACAAAACAAAGAAAGAAGAGAAAAAATATGTTTTAATCTTCTTCAACTTAAACAGTGCCATCATCGTTGAGCAAGTAAAACAGCTTAAACTACATGCAACTAGTGTTTCTTGATCAAGAATATGTTTTGTAAGAACTTATTCAAACTATTATTCTTATGCTGAGAATGAAAGATGTGTGCACGTATGTAGAGTAACCAAGTTTCACATATGACTTTGGCTAGTTAAAACCTCATTTAAATAGTACACTTTTCATATATCGTCGATAACTAAAACTCACATCGTTTAAGTAAAAACTCAACAGATTAAAACATATATTATATACTAATTCAGGTCAATACAAATAAGATCGCAGATGGAATCTTCAGTCTTATGTATAATCCATTAGCTAGAAAGCAACAAGCAAAGATACAGAACATAAAACAACTTATCGTTGTACCCAACTACGTACCCATGACTAATTATCTTGAATATAATACTACCAAAGTAATTAACCAACAAGACTGTAAGAAACATCTAAGTGATGACATAAGCAGTGGTATCTTACCAATTCAGAAGGAAATAACTTTTCTTTGCTAGTGTCTATGTAAAGGTCAGCTCAGGAAAAACACAATTTTCATGTAAAAAAAAGTACAAAAGAATCTGAGCTTCACAAGCTAAAGAAGAGAGAGGAGATCATTGTTGTTCAAGATGACTGGACTTCTTGGATACATAGGTGTCTGGATACTAATCTGTATCCATGTAACACCTTTGGTATCAGCTCAAGGCCGTACTCAGTTTGTACATTATGACTTCACGAAGGCAGACCTGCATCGTGATGGAATGGCAACTATTGAAGATGGCCTATTGCAGATTACAGGTAATACAACCAAGAGCACCGGTCATGCTTTCCACAAAACTCCCATGAAGTTCACAGCTTCGTCTTCCTTTTCAACAGAGTTTGTCTTCGCAATCATTCCACTGCACAGCCCCATTTCTTTCGGTCAAGGTATGGCTTTTGTGGTAGCTCCTACCACAGACCTCAGGTCTAATGGCACTGAAACTTCAGGGTTAGGGCTTTTCAGTACAGCTAATGACAACAATACTACAAATCACATCCTGGCTGTAGAACCTGATACTAATGATAGCGCTGAAGCACTTGACAGAAGTAGTAACCATGTGGGGATTGATATAAATAGCAAAATCTCGGTAGAATCTGCGGATGCTAGTTACTATAATGAAACAGAGGGGAAGAACCAAACCCTGCTTCTTGCTAGTGGAAATAGTATTCTCATTTGGATAGATTACGATGGAATAGAGAAGAGACTTAATGTAACGTTGTCTCCTGTACCAACTCCAAAGCCAGATTCACCTCTCTTGTCAAGCTCCATCAAACCAAGTGTGCCTCTCTTGTCAAGATACATCAATATTTCAGAAATTTTCAATGAAACCATGTTTGTAGGTTTCTCTGGATCCACAGGCACACTCAAAAGTGACCAATATATCCTTGCATGGAGTTTCAAGAAAGGTGGACAAGCAGAAAGCCTTGACTTGTCAAAGGTTTTGGATCCCCCTAATCCACCTCCACCACCGATATCTTCACCACCACCCTCTCCACCACCATCATCTCTGCCGCCACCCACTCTGCCACCAACCTCTCCACCAAAGTCAGGGTCTAACCGCTCTAGCCGTGCTTTAATTCTAGGCACTACTATAGCAGCATTTTGTTTTCTCATAATACTAGGAGGAATTGTATATCTTCTTTACAAGAAAAAGAAGTATGCTGAGGTTCTTGAACAATGGGAAAAGGAATATAGTCCCCAAAGGTACTCCTTCAGGAACCTATACAAAGCAACCAAGGGTTTTAAGGAGAATCAGCTACTTGGAGCAGGAGGTTTTGGAAAAGTTTACATGGGGATGCTTCCCTCTGGTACACAAATTGCGGTGAAAAGAGTCTACCATGATGCAGAGCAAGGGATGAAACAGTACGTCGCAGAGATTGCTAGTATGGGAAGGCTAAGGCACAAGAACTTAGTGCAGCTTCTTGGTTACTGCAGAAGGAAGGGTGAACTGTTTTTGGTTTATGAGTACATGCCAAATGGAAGCCTAGATAACTACTTGTTCAACCAAAACAAGCTCCAAAACCTCACTTGGTCTCAGAGATTGAACATACTAAAGGGAATAGCATCTGCTCTTCTGTATCTTCATCAAGACTGGGAACAGGTTGTACTACACAGAGATATCAAAGCTAGCAACATTCTTTTAGATGCTGATCTAAATGAAAGGTTGGGAGATTTTGGGTTTGCAAGATTCCATGATCGTGGCGAGAATCTCCAAGCCACGCGTGTGGTAGGAACCATTGGCTACATGGCACCAGAGCTAACTGCAATGGGAGTTACCACTACCTGGACTGATGTCTATGCTTTTGGAGCTTTTATTCTTGAGGTGGTTTGTGGAAGAAGGCCAGTAGACCCTGAGAGACCCCCTGAGCAAATGATTCTACTCAAGTGGGTTGCTATTTGCGGAAGCAGAGATAATTTAATGGTTACTGTTGACAGTAAACTTGAAGGAAACTTTAAAGCTGAAGAGGTCAAGATGCATTTGAAGATAGGCATGCTCTGTTCTCAGAGCAACCCAGAGAATAGACCAAGTATGAGACTTATAGTACAATATCTTGAAGGAAATGTCACTGTTCCGAGCATATCATATGATACATCTGGATTTGGTATGCCTAATATAAGCAATGAAATGGTAACACAACTGACTGCGACCTCCTCATTAGCTAACTTCTCGTTTGAAGATGTTACAGTCCTATTTGGTGGTCGTTGAAGCCTGCATCACAGCTAAACTCACAAGTAAAAAATTTTTCTGCAACAAAGGCTTGTATGTAAATGATTGTGTTGTCTGTATTGTATGTAAAGACTTGTATCGTTGAAGCCTGAATGATTGTATTGTATGTAAGTGATTGTGTTGTGATGTGTTGTTGTTTGCAACACTGTGAAACAAGGCTTTTTCATAGAATATAAGAATTATGATGCTAATAGTATGAGTGTAGTAAACTCTACATTTTTGGCATCTCAAATATCTAAATATTTCTAGATATTATAAATTTTGCATCAAGGTGAATTATCTAGATGTTTATGTAAATGTGTCCAAACGAACAACATCTAAATCTCAAATCGCACCACAAATATGATACCATACAGAGTTTGAAATCTTGACCAAGATACCATGGGATCTGTCTACATTGAAGTGCTTCGAACCGAAACTAATGGTACAGTGTATTAGATTGGATCGGAGATTTTGGAGGCTATAAACAACTTAATAAGGATTTCAATAAATATTTTTTTGTACAAATTTGGAGATCTAATTTTCTGTAATTTTTTAAAAAAATATATATTAGGAGACCTTAGGCTAATGCTTGACTAGCCAGTCAACAAAAAAATCAGAAACTTATAATCAATACAATTAAAACAGAATCACTTTATTTAATGAGATTTTTATGTTTTCTAAAAATACCTTTAATATTATGAACAAATTTAACTTTTTATTAATGGTAATTTTGTCTTTTTATTTTTAACCTAAAAACTATATACTAATGAGTTTTATTAATGGGTCAAATTCATCTTCTAATTATTAGTCCACTGGTCTGGGCCCATTCAACCCGCCACAGAACAGATCAATCGATATTTAAAAAAACTAAGCTGCGGGTGCGGGTGCAGATCAAATATATTTTACGTGGGACATATGCGGATTGTTATAATTTCAATTGTGGGTATCCGATAATCTGTAAAAATAGAGAAAAAAATTAAAAATTATTTTTCAAAAATATACTAAACTGCTTTAAAATAATTATTTTTTAAACTAAAATTTAATTAAAATATACTATTTAATATTATCTTTTAGAAAAAATATAAAATAATTGTTTTTATTATTAATAATTATCCACATGTCCCGTGGATTATCCGCAAAGTGGGGCGGATACGGATAAAATTTATTTTCTTTGCGGGTCAGACGGATCGGGTAAGGCGAGTTTGACCCGCTTCCCAGCACCAAACGTAGTTAATTGATATTATTTTCTTAAAATAAAAATACACAATTACATATAACACATTTACAGAGATGTTGATTATAATAATAAATTAAAATCTACAATAATTTTAGAAAGTTATATTAGACAAGAACATTTTATATCATCAAAGCAAAAAAAAAATATCGATCCATCTGTAGAAAAAACAACAAAAATGGTATCTGCATTTTTTAAGTGCGGATCAAAAATCTAGTAGTTTATTATTTGTTACACAACATTGGTATTTTTATGATCCTTCAAACAATCATTCAAGAAAATAGGAAGAAACGTCATCTGTTGAATAGTCTCCATCTCTAGTTTGAGAAGTTACACTAATCAAGGTATAACTTCAAGCTCTCACCTAAATACACCACAAGAAACCCTTTTGGTGCGTTGCTCGTACCCCGTCTAGAGTCTAGTGTACTTTCCTGTACATCCATTCGAACTTGGAAGCTAAGCATTTACTGATTTTACATAGTCCAATCTGTAGCTCATCCTCATAGGACACACTTGTGATTATTTCAAGTAAGTTTGTAAATGTAAAACTTAGGAATCTCTGTGTGTGTAACGACTGCCACAACTTTATCAAGATCATGTCTAGAATCATTGGTCGAACGTTGATTGTGAGAGATAACAAACGTTTCCATCACTTCAGTGATGGATATAATGTTCTTGTGGCGATTATTGGTAGAGTCCATGTTCTAGAGACCCTTTCACATAAGGTATTAAGTTTGTGTTTATTGCGTTTGATATATTTTTGCTCATATTATGGCAGAACATTGGAGATCATGTCGGATTAAAGTGCAAGATTGTGAATGCAAAATTTATAGGAACACATTAATTCTCTATACAACCATCACATTTGACACATTGCTGTTCAATAACAATTCAGGCGTCTCCTCCCATTTTCGGTTATTATATTCCCGCCTGATCTTCAAGATTCCAACCAAACAATAAGAGAAGTCGTTAGATCACATATCTTTTTTTTGTCACCGTCATCACAATAAGATAAGTAGAACTAAGGTAAAGATAAAAAAAAAAAAATCTAAAGAGACAAAAAGATAAATCTTTTTTTTTTCTTTTTAAGTGGTGTGCTCGATTGAGATTGAAATTATTATTTTGGGGGTAACTGATCAACCAAATCAACAGGAGATGTCATATATATAAGGAGTTGATGATATTACCACCTTCGTTCGGACACCGATGATCTAACTTGTATAAGTTTTGAAACTGCTCATTTGCCGACTTTCTCTATAGAGTGATCTAGTGAACTATCCATATTTGAAACTCAAATTAGCAAAATACCATTGATTAGACATGAAGGACACTGACACAACTATTTGGCAAGGAAATGCCGAGAATGACATTTCTCTTTCCTCTCATTAACACGAAGCGTAAAAACATTTGTTAACATATAATACTTCTGTTAACGTCTACAATATTTGTTAACAGTCAACACATTTATTACCGCGAAACGTAAAAATAATTGTTAACAGTTAACACTTCTGTTAACGTCTACAAAATTTGTTAACAGCGAACACATTTATTAACGCGAAGCGTAAAAATAATTGTTAACAACTAACACTTCTGTTAACGTCTACAATATTTGTTAACCGCTAACACGACGTCGAATCTAAAACTCAGAAAATTGATATCATCAAAAAATTGAGGATTCAAAGCCACTTATGAAAAAAATAATGAAATTTAAAATTTAATTGTATATAGAATGATAGAGATTTGTAAAATAATTAGGGATTGGAAGGGAAAAAAAGGTCAAAATTGAGGATTCAAAGCCACTTATGAAAAAATAATGAAATTTAAAATTTAATTGTATATAGAATGATAGAGATTTGTAAAATAATTAGGGATTGAAGAGAAAAAAAAAGAGGGAAAATGTCAAAGAGAGAAGAGAGAGTGTAGAGAAGAGCAAAATGGTTCAAAGAAAAGTGATTGTCACATCATGGGCAATTCTCTAATTATAGGTGTCTCATAGGGCACTTTAGCCAATCTCCTCTCTATAAGCCATGGAGCAAATTATGTTTGAACCCTATATAAGACACGTACTATTAAGGTATTACGGGAGTAATTCAATTGGCGTAGTGATGTTTCGAAGAATTCATTTGTTCGGAGTACGTCTGATAGTTGACGTAGGAGTACGGTGTCATGCTCATGCAGAATATTTCTTCAGCTTAAACAAAGAAACAAAAGAAATGAAAGTTGATTCAGGATGACACATATACAAACACAATTTATAGCAGTGCCATCATCGTTGAGCAAGTCAAAAGAACTTATAATAACTGCAACTAGCATTTCTTGATTAGTAGTAAGAACTTATTCAAACAGAGTTATCCTGATGCTGAGAATTAGACATGTGTGCACGTATGTAAGACACAGCCAAGTCTCATATAGAATATCCAAAGATTCCAAACTGAAACTTTTAACCTTGACTAGTTAAAACCTCATTTAACCACGCCTCACAGACATGGTAAAAACTCACTAAGGTCAATACACATATTTCAGATCACAGCTGAAACCTTTTGTTTCATATATAACATCAGCTAGAACGCAAACAAGCAAAGATGCAAAACAATAATAAAACATATAGTATTGTACCCGTGGCTTGTCTTGGATATAAGACTACCAAAGTAACTAACCCACAACAGTAAGAAATTTCCAAATGATGACATGTGCAGTGATATGGTATTGCTAATTCAAAAGGAAAGAACTATTCTTAGCTTTTCTTTGATACTGTCTTTCATGTGTAAGTCAACTCAAAAATCAAAAACCAAAAATCTAATGTTCAAGGAAGTGCAGAAGAATCTAAGTTTAACAGACTAAGGCGAGAGAGAGAGAACCATTAAGCTGTTTAAGATGGCCGGAGTTCTAAGGTCACTGAGTTTCTGGATACTAGTCCAAGTGTTCTCTTTGGTGTTAGCTCAAGACGGTACTCAATTTGTGCACTATAACTTCAGTAAAGCAGACCTTCATCGTGATGGCATGGCAACTATCGATGATGGCCTATTGCATCTAACAAATAATACAAACAAGAGTACCGGCCATGCTTTCCACAAGATCCCAATGAACTTCACAAGGTCATCTCCCAGTTCACTTTCTTTTTCAACAGAATTTGTCTTTGCGATGTTTCCTTTGCAAGGCGACGGTCAGGGACTAGCTTTTGTGGTATCTCCCTCGCTGGACCTCAGGTATAGTGGCGCTGCAACATCATACTTAGGGATTTTCAATAGGACAAATGATAATAAAACTGACAACCATATCTTGGCTGTAGAGCTTGACACTAATCCAAGCTCTGAAGCAATTGATAGATAGCTATAACCATGTGGGGATTGATGTTAATAGCATAGTCTCGGTGGAATCTGCCAATGCTAGTTACTTTAGTGAAACAGACAGGAAGAACATAAGCTTTCCTCTTGCTAGTGGAAAAAGTATTCTGGTCTGGATAGATTATGATGGTGTAGAGAAGCTACTAAATGTAACGTTAGCTCCAGTTCCAACAAAGCCAACTTCGCCTCTCTTGTCAAGATCCATCAAACCAAGTGTGCCTCTCTTGTCAAAATTCATTAATGTTTCAGAAATATTCAGTGAAACCATGTTTGTAGGCTTCTCAGGATCCACAGGGACAGTCAAAAGTGACCAATATATTCTTGCATGGAGTTTCAAGAAAGGTGGACAAGCAGAGAGCCTTGACTTGTCAAAGGTTTTGGATGCCCCTAATCCACCTCCACCACCCTCAGGGTCCAATGACTCCTACATGAAACTAATTCTAGTTGCTACTATACCTTCAATTGCATTTCTTATGATGCTTGGAGGAATTTTTTATCTTTACAAGAGAAGGAAGTACGCAGAGGTGCTAGAACAATGGGAACAAGATTATATCCCTCAAAGGTATTCTTTCAAGAACCTCTACAAAGAAACAAAAGGTTTCAAGGAGAATCAGCTACTTGGAGCAGGAGGTTTTGGAAAAGTATATAAAGGAGTACTTCCTTCTGGTGTTGAGATTGCTGTTAAGAGAGTCTATCATGACGCAGAACAAGGAATGAGACAGTATGTTGCGGAGATAGCTAGTATGGGAAGGCTAAATCACAGGAACTTGGTGAGGCTTCTTGGTTACTGCAGAAGGAAAGGTGAATTGCTTTTGGTTTATGACTACATGCCAAATGGAAGTTTAGATAACTACTTGTTCAACAACCAAGGCCTCACATGGTCTCAGAGATTTAACATAATCAAGGGAGTAGCATCTGCCCTTGTTTATCTTCATGAAGACTGGGAAAAAGTTGTACTACACAGAGATATCAAAGCTAGCAACATTCTTTTAGATGCTGATCTGAATGGAAGGTTGGGAGATTTTGGGTTTGCAAGATTCCATGATCGTGGCCAAAATCTTGGAGCCACACGTGTGGTAGGAACCATTGGTTACATGGCACCAGAGCTAACTGCAATGGGAGTGGCTACAACAAAAACTGATGTCTATGCTTTTGGATCTTTCATCCATGAAGTGGTCTGTGGAAGAAGGCCAGTAGACCCTGAGAGACCCCCTGAGCAAATGATTTTACTCACGTGGGTTGCTATTTGCGGAAGCAGAGATAATTTAATGGTTACTGTTGATAGTAAACTTGAAGGAAACTTTAAAGCTGAAGAGGTCAAGATGCTTTTGAAGATAGGCATGCTCTGTTCTCAGAGCAACCCAGAGAATAGGCCTAGTATGAGACTTATAGTACAATATCTTGAAGGAAATGTCACTGTTCCGAGCATATCATATGATACATCTGGATTTGGTATGCCTAATATAAGCAATGAAATGGTAACACAACTGACTGCGACCTCCTCATTAGCTAACTTCTCGTTTGAAGATGTTACAGTCCTATTTGGTGGTCGTTGAAGCCTGCATCACAGCCAAACTCACAAGTAAAATTTTCTTCTGCAACAAAGGCTTGTATGTAAATGATTGTGTTGTATGTATTGTCTGTAAAGACTTGTATCGTTGAAGCCTGAATGATTGTATTGTTGTAAATGATGTGTTTTTGTTTGCAACACTGTGAAACAAGGCTTTTTCATAGAATATAAGAATTATGATGCTAATAGTATGAGCAGTGCCGGTCTGGTGTTAATTGGCGCCTAAAGCACATTAAAAATTTTTTGCCCCTTAATTATATTTAATTTTAGTACTTTTAATTAAATAAGAAGAACACAAAATGTATTAAAATTTATTTTTTCTATAAAAAGTACATACCTGTCAGTATTTTTGTCTTAAAAGCAAGAGAATCACAATTGTTCAAATATTTGTAAGAAAAATGGAAATGTCAATGATATTTATATATTTTCTTTTGTAAAATATAAATTTTAATATATTTTATAAATATGTTGTCTGTCATTCTTTAAAAAAATTAACATCTTAAACATCTTTATAGTTCCTTTTGACAAAATTTCTTGACATAACGTTTCATACATAGATTTTATATTTGTAGATGCAAAATAGTTATAGTTTAATCAAATCAAGTTAACATTCATTTTAACTTGTGAATTTTTGTTGAATTTTAAAAGAATTCAAGAGAAAGCATAATCTAATATATGATAGTTATGTTGAATTATATTTCAAAAATTCCTAAAAGTTATAATAATCATGCAAATAATAGTTAAGTAAGACTTACATGGAAAATGCAAAATAGTGCAATAAATAATTAGGCTTTTGTTTAATATTTATTTATAAATTTTTTAAAAGAACTAAGATTATCTTAGATATCATCAACAAAAAATATCTTAGAAATCAAAGGCTTTTTATTTAGAGAAATTGCATTGTATATACACGAATAACTACTTAATTGGCATAGAAGGATTTCGCGATTATAGGGTGACGTGTTTTTTTTTAATGGCAAAAGAACCCCTACGCGGTATATGTATATTTTCAAACGTAATGATCTTTTATACGCGCAACCAAAACACACGCGCGAAGAGAGATGTTACTACTAGCACAACTATCGACACACTCTCAGCTTTGGAAACATAAATCACAGTTACCTAAATCTCTTTGGATTCTCCGTGAAACAATATACCTCCATATCTACTTTCTTTATGTTAATCTCTTATAAAAGCAGCCATAATCGTTGTCTCTCCGGCGGATACAAACGATTGGAACCCTAATTCCATTGGATTTCGTCAATAGAATTCTTAAGGTAACCTTGATTAATTCCTTCTATCATTATCTAACTGGTAGTCGTAGAGATTTAGGGTTAATACACAACCCAACCTCTTTTTCTCACTCAATTGCCTGTTTTATTTTGTTTTAGGTTTTGTAGCTATGGATCTTCCAGAGCTACCATTTCGCATGTTCTCAGCCGGCGAAGAACCAGTTGGACTTAGAGTCACTCCATACCACAAACCCGGAGGTGTAAAACACATATTAGATACTCTGGATCCAGAAGAAATCGAGATTATTAAGGCTTCATCTTTCGGGAAATTCATCGAGCTTGCAGATCAGACTCCATATTCTGGTCGGTTAGGTAGGTACATGTTATCACGACAGCTGAAGGTTAGCAAAAAGTTCGAGGCGTGGTTCTTATTTGCTGAAAACCCAATACGATTCTCTTTGAGAGAGTTCGCTATTGTTACCGGTCTCCCGTGTGGTAAATACCCTACTCCACCGACGAACGCAATGAAGAATCTCATATCGGAGCAGCCGTACTACAATTCACTTTTTGGGAAGCTCAAGGAAGTAAGCGTGGCATCAGTTATTACAATGCTCAAACGCAAGGCAGTCACATCTCCAGACACCCGGATAAAGTATGCTCTTCTCGCCATGCTTGCTACGGTCATTCTGCCCACCACACACACGCCCAAAATATCTGTAGACTATGCTGAGAAGATCAGGAGCCTTGATGAGTTCTTCTCCTATCCTTGGGGCCGTTTATCATTTGACATGCTTATAAACAGCATTAAAGAAAGAGATGAGGTTACACTGTCACAGAGCACTATTGCCCTACCTGGCTTCGTACAATCCCTACAAATGGTCATGATCAAAGCTGTCCCTGCTCTCACAGAAGTTGTCCGCAATGATGCTACAGAGGACGACGATTTCACTGCATCACCCCCTAGGAATGGTATCAAGCCTGCGCACGCAAGAACGCTTGACACCGCCAAAAACGTAAGCATATTTCCTGCTTACGCTGATTTATATTTTAATATTATAGTTTGTCATTCTGAATGATTATACGGATTACAGGTTTAGAAACCATACATTACACAAAATAGCCGTTTATTAAAATAGACTTAATAGCTTGTCTCCATTTCCATGTTTAACCGGATATTAAACATAGGAAGTGATATTTATTGTCTTAGCCGGCTAAAACCTCTTTTTACGCATCTATATTTGAGCCGATATTTGAAAATTTAACCTGATAATTAACAAGCAAAACGTATTTTTCTGTTATTAGCCGGCTAACGTAATGAATTTTTCTGTAGGTACTTGTGACTCCTATCATACCTGATGACTTAGGCTTGGAGATCGAAGAAGCGGTGTTGTCCTATGATGAAGAGGAAGACGATGAAAGAGTTAACAATATGGTCAGATTAATCAAAGATGGCACACGTTTCAGTAATGAAATGTTCATAGGTGGAGCCACGAAGGCAGATGTAGATCGCATGCGTGCAGATGCCGAAATTGCAGCTCAAGCAAAGAAAAAAAGAAAGAGGAAAAACACCATCCATCCACCCACCAATGTCGACTGTACCATGGAAAATGTGTCTTCAGTGTGGCAAGACATGTTCAAAGCTGACATTCGTAGGGTGGAAGGTAAAGTGGATGAACTACGTGGTTCCTTCATCCAGATGCAGGAGGCCATAAAGAAGCATATTTCAGAGAACTCTAATCAGCTACAATCCTTTCAGCTCAGTTTCAAGACTATCATCGATTCTATTGGCACACTACAACGTCATGGTATTTGCACATCGCGCGAAGGCGTACATATCGACAATGCTACTGTCGGTTCACCAAATATTCAGCCAATAACGAATGCTCATTTACCCACCCCTCACATGGACAGTACTGATATCATAAACTCTGTATTAGGCAGTCTTCAGCACACACAGCGTGGCAACAGTGATGAGGTATATGCGTTGTCTTAATGCATTCACCTAATTTCTAAGTACTATATTTTGATAATTCTATCACTGTAGGCATCACCTCCACCAGCGGAAAGTCCACATAATCATCATGTTGAAGATGTAGAGGAGTGTCTCGTTCGCAACCATTCACTGAACAACACCCAGTCATCCTTAATCGGCGACTTCACCGTTCAAGACACAGTCGACAAAGTTTCTGAAACTGCAGATGTACCTTCTGTAAGTATAACATAGCTTTTTAGGCATTTATACCGACAGTTCAGATAATTAAGTTAGACGCATAACACGTAAAATTTCATGTACAAATAGAAGAATGGTCGGTTTTAGGGATAAGTGATTAACCATTTCGATAGTTAGCGTTTGTGGAATATGAATTTACTTGCTAGCGTTTGTGGAATATGTATTTACTTGCTAAACGACCAAATTACTCGACAACGTGACTTCTGGCCGGTTAAGTGATGTGACAGGGTCAAGATATAACCGCTGTTTTGCGGATCATTCATCGCTGTCAATATAACAAAATATTTCTTGTTTTACCACTTAGCATTCAAGTTTTTTAATTGTTTGATAATTCGTTTGTTGTTTTCACAACAGCCATCTTTCTCGCTTGGATTAACGCAAGAGTTGGGGGTGAACACCGTTCAAAACAATGAATCACCCAAGTATGAAGCACAAAAGAAGTCCGAGGATGCACCATCCAATCAAGAAGATATTTCCCATAATCCTCCATTCCCAGTAAGGAAAAGCGATCGGATCAAGTCAGTCCCGAAGTCATTAGTAGGTGTATACCAGTGCGACAAACTCATTTCGACTCGACTTAAAGATGCTCAGTTCCAAGCTTTCAACAAGGACCCCACCGTTGACTACCCTGCGAGGTTCAATAAACTCGTTGAAATACTCAAGACTACCAAGTAAGTAGCCATCCATACATTTATGATGCATATTGCTAGACTCAGCCTGATAATATGCATTGTTACCATACATCCCAACTCATTACCAAACCAACCATGGTGCTGCCACCGATGAATATAATTTCGTATATTTGGATAGATAACCAGCCAATTCACATAGTTACCGCACACAAACATATTTAACCGGCTATATAATGTTTATCTGCTGATGCTGTCTAATAAATAGCCGGCTAAACGCGGAATCATTATCCCTCTAAATCACTGTCATTTCTCATTACTCAGGTCTATTTTTGTTGGTGGCATTTCTGTTACTGCCAAAGAAATTTTAGAGCTTCACCAGAGGACCAAAAATCTTTCACCTAAGGTAATGAACAAATTATTCACTTTGGGGGGTGTCAACTTCAAAACACTATAAATGCTTCTGATATTATTTTCTCTGTTTGCAGATGTTTAATGTTTTGATGCACCATTCTCGTGATTTGTCAGTAGCTGAGTCTAAGGACCAGCAATCGCATTTGTTTCTCGACACCAAGTTCGTCTCTGTTCTTTCCAAGAACTATACTAGGTTCTCCAAGGATTCACGGAAAGAAGATTTTGTTTTCACACCCAACCTGTTGGAAATCATGTCTAACCTCGGCACACAAGCACCAGACTCTGATCGTTTTTACTTTCCATTCAACCTTGACCAGAAACACTGGATTGGAGTGTGCGTTGACTGCACATCGTGGAAGTTGGTTGTACTCGACTGCAATACATCACTTAGAAGCGATGCCCGAATGGTATCTGAACTCACACCTATAGCCCAGATGTTTCCCTACCTTTTGATTCAAGCCGGCAGGAAGTCGATGGAAAG